TGATTACCCCACTTTCTTCATCTGTAAAATGGGGGTCATTAATAACACTGATCTCAGCTTGTAGTTATGAGGATTCAATGATTTCATGCATGGAAAGTGATTAGTGCAGTGCCTGGCACACTATTCAGTTGCAATAAATTGCACCTGCTGCTGTTATCATCATCATCATCATCATCATCATGATTTTTATTTCCGCAGAGTGATAGGATGTGGGAGCAGCATCTTCCCATGGGAGAGCTGTCCTCATCGGAATAGAAGTAATTTCTCTGGGCAGAAACAAAGGGCTTAGAAGGCCTTGTGGTGTGCATTCAGTCTGGAAATAAATTGACAGGCAGAGTGATTTGTCTATTTGACAGCCTGCTTCCTGCATCCAAAGGCACTATAGTTCCTTTACAGACTACTTACTTTTTCTTTTCTTGTCTTTCAATACATGGAAGACTGTATTTGACTAAGAAAAAAATATTCCCTGTCAAATATCAGGCTGTCAGACGCTCCCACTTACACCCCTTCTAAAGATTTGGGTTTTACTAGGGTAATTTCCATTCCTCTGTTGATCTGATAATTTTATAGAGCAAGAGTTATTTTGCAGAAGTTACCTTGCAGAATATGTATCTTTCTGCAAAGAATCAGTTGATTTTACCTTCATTCACTTAAATAAAGTAGAAAGGAGTTTTAAAATCTTGTATTTCTTTAACAGACCATAGTGTATGTAAAGGCATTTAGCTATTACTATGGACCTATGCCCTTGAGTTAATGACAGCATTAAAATAACAACAGCCATAAGTACAGCTAAGGACTTTGATTCCTTTTTATGTGTTGTTCTATGAATTTTACACTGACTGTTCCATTTAATCTTCATAACAATCTCATGAAGAAAATTATTATCCCTACTTTTCAAATGGTGAAATGAGCAAGAGATGGTTGAGTAATCTTTGCAGTGTCATGTAGCTAGTGAGTAATGGGGCCAGGACTCAGACAGTGTGTGCCAAGGACCTTTGTTTCATGATTAAGATGGTCACATTCCTTTTTCAAGGGTAATTAGGATTAAAAAGGAATTTTTAAATTATTAATGTATGTATGTATTTTTCATATGCAAATATGAATCTCTGATTTACCTCACATAAACACAAGTTTGTAAATTGCCAGAAACTTGGAAGATTTCTTTTAATTTATAATCTCCCCTTCTTTCATGTCATATAGGTATTTAGTTGCTGAGCAAGATGAGTTCCAAACCCCTTCAACAACTTGGAGACTCCTGTTCTCCCCTTTATAGGGAATGGCAATCCACAAAAGGAGACAGAGCAACATTTGGTGTATTTAGTGAAAACTTCCTTTTCGTATATATGGTTTTGAATATAAATATCTCTGGTCCAGGGTTTCCAATCACAGCACTGCTCCTGTGTGACCCAGGCAGCCCACTTAACCTTCCTGAACCACAGGCTCTCCATAAGTAAAAAGTGAGACAATAAAATAAATATCTCATAGATGAGTTGTAATAATTCAATGAGTATCTGTTTAAAGCCTCTGGCAAATTAATTTCCAGCTCTTTCTGTCCCAACAACAAGAAAGGACATTAACGCTCCTAGGAGCCTCTTCTCAAAGTTGTAGCTACTCCAAAGAAGCAAATAATAGGAATGTATAAAGGGAAGGATTATGTCAGCAAAACACTTTTTAAAATTCTTATGTGGTTAATGATGGTAGAAGAGAAACAAACATATATATAGAATTTTCTATGAGAATGGGCTATTGCTTTGGCTAAGACTCAATTACCCTGGTAAAACTGTCCTCTTTTCTTTTCGTAGACACATCCCACCCAAACTGCATTCTTGTCTAGCGTGGATCTGCACACTCACTGTTCCTACCAGCTCATGTTGCCAGAGGCTATTGCCATCGTCTGCTCACCAAAGCATAAGGAGTGAGTGTGACTCCTGCGGGGAGCCCGAGGGGAGCTTCGTCTGGGGCTGCTGGCTTCATGGGTATCCCCACACCAGGTTGTGGCACTTAGACTGACAGGCTCTAGGTGCCCTTGGGAAAAAGAAATGGGTGGCAGCCAGCTCCACATCCCTGAAGCTTTGCAGTCTTTTGCTTTTTAAGCTCCTTTCGGTGGTAGAGTGACTGGTTCTTTCTTCAGTTAATGTGACCTTGAAGCAGATAATATTTAAGAGAATGTTATCCTACTTTGTCTTTTTTTTTTTTTTCCCTTTTTGTCTTTTTTCGTGTCCGGCAACGGATCGCAACCTTCAGTGTCGCGCCCGTACCGGACTGGGACCGGCAACGGGATTGCAACCCTCAGTGCTGCACCTGCACCTCGCTCAGCCAGTGAGCGGGAACCGGTCTGTATGTGGGATCCAAACCCTCGGCGGGAGCGCCGCCGCACTCCCAAGCGGCGCACTGTAGCAGTGCGCCACCGGGCCGGCCCCCTACTTTGTCTTTTGAGATATGAGTTCTATTGTCTTATGTCCTATTGAAAGAAATTTTCCAGCCTTAGTTTAATTGCTTCCAAAACCTTTCTAGTTTTGGGAGACCATGATTACTGTAGAGTAGTTATGAGCATAGGAAATATATTGGAGTTCTGGCTGTGCCCTCAGGTGGTGTGTTTAGCAGGATACCTGACCACTGTGAGCCTCACATTCTTTATCTCTAATACAGTCATCCCTCCTTATCCATGGGGGATACCTTCCGAGATCCCTGGTGGATGCCTGAAATCACGGATATTATTGAACCTTATATATACTATGTTTTTTGATCTGATAACTGAGATAGCTATGAAGTGACTAACAGGCAGGTTAGTGTATACAGTGTGGATATGTGAACAAAGGGATGATTCACAGGGTGGAACAGGATGGCACAAGATATCATTACACTACTCAGAAAGGTGCACAGTTTAAAGTGTGAATTGTTTATTTCTGGAATTTTTCATTTAATATTTTCGGGCTGTGGTTGACCATGGGTCACTGAAGCTTGTGGAAGCAGAACTGCAGATAACCAGGGACTCCTGTACCTGCTCTCCATGGATTGATGTGAAGATGAAATTAGATGATAGTCTATGTGAAATGCTTAGCATAGTTAGTGCTGGGCACCACAGCAAGCTCAGTAAATATTTGCTGCTGCTATAAACAGTATTCATATTATTAGAAAAATTAGAATGATTGGTCCCAAGGAAGAGGCAGTGCTACCTCCAAGCGCCTGCAGGATTGTAAAGTGGAGGAGGTGGCTGAGATGTGGTGTGAGACCAAAGAGGAAAGGCCAAGGCCCCCCAGAGTATTCCCTCCTCCTGGTTTCTCTCCTCTATGCCAGTCCTCAAAAGATTGGTTAAAAAAATTACTGTGGGATTCCTAGTTTGTGGTTATTTTCTCCATTGCATTTGAGGAACATGTATGCTTGTGCCAATCAAAATAAAGCATCTGGAAACCCCAGTGATTCTTAATTTTTATATATCTTTTTTTCACCCTGAAATTTAGCACTGGCATCTTCAGGCTCACCAATGCTGGCATGCTTGAGGTTTCTGCTTGTAAGAAGAAGGGCTTTCATCCACACACCAAGGACCCCAGGCTGTTCAGTGTGAGTACATAGCTATGTTTGCAGGTGTTTATTTTTCACCATCCACCCCCACCTTTTTTTTAAGAAGAGAAATACTAGCATTCTAATATGGAATAAAACACTGTTCTGCTTAGGAGAAAATTCATTAATCTTTATACTTAATTTCTGATTTCTTCTTAATGTCATGTTATTTACAAGGAAATGTAGCAGAGTTGCTGATGCACAAAGCTTCCTTTCCATTACGTATTTGTGTGATACTTAAAGTTTTCTTCAGAGTCCAAGTAAGCAAACAGTTATTAGAAAAAATGGTATTAAATATATCATGAATTCTTTATGCTTGATATGGCCAAACATGTTTTTTCATAGCAAATCAATGAAAACTGTAACCACATTTCTTGATTAGTTTTGTATAGCCCAAAAGAAACATTATTTGACTACATCTTTTCTATTTGCTTGGAAGGTGTAACTTTAGAGAAACATTATTTTGAAGTTAGAATTTATTTTAAATGAAAATTACTTGGCAACCTCTATAAATATTTCTTGTTTTTCAGAATGAATAAGCATGGTTTATTTGTTCCAGTTGGAAATATTTTTTTTTTTTGTCCTTTTTAAGACTGGCTGCACCGCGCTCAGCCAGTGAGTGCTATGAGCGCACCGGTCATCCCTATATAGGATCCAAACCCACAGCGGGAGCGCGGGAGCGCTGCATTGCTCCCAGCGCTGCACTCTCTCGAGTGTGCCATGGGCTCGGCCCAGTTGGAAATATTTTTAAAATTAGGGAAATTTTTAAATTAGTGAATTCACACTCCCTTCCAAAAGGGAAGTATGTTTTAAGTGTTATAATGTAAAACCAATATTTTCTTTTCTAGATATGCAGACATGTGTTGGTAAAAGACATAAAAGTAGTTGTGTTGGACCTGAGGTGATATGTCCTGAATATAAACACCATCAACACCAGACACCTGCCCATGGACATGTGGTTGCTGGATTTTCTTAAGATGTTTCCAGAAATGACTGATATTTTATATTTATACATTTTAGATCAGAAAGTTTGATATTTATTGCTTTTGCATATTTTGAAGGTTTTTTTTTGGGGGGGTTGCTCTGTCTCGAGAGGTCACAAGGTGTTAAATCAATACCTATTAATGTACCCCAATACTATGACTATATAATAAATTGTGCTGCAAACAATGTGTCTGGTATTTATAGAGGTCTCCGTTTATGTTTTCAGAGCTTTAAATGTTTCTCTATTTTTTTTATTCACATAAAATGTAATTTCAAACAAGAAATTTTGAGTATAGGTAGCCTCCAAGGTAGGCTGTCTATTTCTGCAGCCTTTTCCTGTGATAGCAGGTGAGCAGCTTCCACATGTGAGAAGAAATACGGCTGCAGTCCACAGACACTGCGTTTTCAGTATCATCAAATCCCAGGCTCAGAGAGAGATGTCTGCAGTGAATCACAGTGTAGGATATCAGAACAACAGGCTTCTACTCAGGGATCAGGTGTCAGAGAGCCTGGGATAGCAGACAGTTCATTAATATGATTTAGGAGAAGCTCGAGAGAAGGATAAAAAAAGTCTCAGATAAACAGTATAAAGCCTGTTACTGTCAAAGTTAACAGAGGTGACAGGGAGAAGAAATGACACATAGGAAATAACTGGTAATTCTTAGCCAAAAAGAATAAATAAATAAATGGGAAAGATGACTTGTAATTAAAAGTATCTCTATATAAGTTAATGTGCAGAATGTAGGAATGAAATAAGTTTGAAACTGAATAGAGTGACATAAATACAATGTTACGGTATTAGTAAGGCTTGGAATGGCATTTGTGACTGGTCACCTAGATAATAAAAGCATCTATCTGGATCAAAAGACACAGGTTAAATAGACTGAATGGGAGACTTACGTACTCTGTTAGCAAGTTGAATTGGTAGAAAAAACCTGAGAATGGAAACATTATGGAGAAAATTTAGCTGCAAATATAATGAGGGGTGAATGGAAGTGGTGTTGTTGAATATTTGGAGAATATATACATATTCATGTGGACACTGAAGACAGATTTTCTAGGCACGATCTTCGTCTTGGCTGAGATTGCTCCCAGGCGGCTCGGGAAATCCTAAGCTGGCTGCCCTTCTCTTGATCAGCAGCATTCTCACCACCTGTTAGGCTCCTACCTTGCTCTAGTATAGCCTTCTTCTCTTTTCTTTCCAACTTATAAGTCTCCATCTTTAGCCATCTCTCCCAGGATCTTCAGCTTTTTCCTGACAGGGCCAAACTAATCCTATCTAACCTTCTTTCTTCCCATGTCTTATATGCCAGCCCCAGCTTTCCCAGATTTTGTTTCCCTCCTGACATTGTATCTGAGTCACCTGAACAACTCATGTTTGCATGTCCTAGCACACGCTTCTTAGTTCAATGATTTCTGTATTCCAAAGAAGGGTATTTCCTGTACTCTGTGCTTGGATGGGTTAACAATCCTCCCCTCTTGTCTCTTGTCCAGTATTGGTGTCATGCCACTCAAATTCTGTTCCAGTTCTCATTCATAAAGAACCCACTATGGGCACCTTAGTGGCGTATTTTTGTTTTATGACAACTAGTAACCTTGGAAAGTTCAGGTCTCAGACTTTAGAAGTCAGGCTTGGTTTGCCCTATGCAGGGGGACCTGAGTCTATGGCACCACTAGCTAAGGGCAGATTAATTCTGCAAGGGGGGCTCCACAGACAACCACTTTTCCCTGAATGGTGCTGTACTCTGTTTCTTCGAACTTAAGGACATTGTGATATTCTTGTACACTTGATTGAAGAAAAAGATTATGTAATTTACTCACGTAAAAATAACTGTCAGGACAAGGGATAGCTGAGAAATGAGTGACATCCTCTGTTGAATTCAAAGATACATTAATAGACCAGGAGTATGTAAACTGAGAGGTGTCTGATGAAAAAACTGGATATTGAATGGTGCCTAGAGATAGAAAGGATTTACTGAAAGCAAGAACATTTAGCTTTTTAGATTTCCAGAGAGAATAGGAGAAGCTGTGAGATGCAAAACCAGTTATGTCCCTTCTGAGTAGCAAATTAGAAGAGTACTCACTTTTTACTAAAAGGATATATCCCCTAAACCAGGGAGGCATTCTTGTCACTTTCTTTTTTAAAAATTTTTTGCAGGGGGAGTCAAAATCATAGGTCTGAGGTGAAGTTTGAAAGGTTGTTTTTTTGAAGGGCGTGTGGTTTTCTCATTGCCAAGTACAAACCCAAGTAAGCAGACTTCCCAGAAGAACCTTGTCACAGAGCCGGGCTCTTGCACACAGCAAACTAGTGACCTGACCTTGCCTGGCAGAATGAGTCCCTGAGGCTGTGTCTGAAAGGAGAACCAACAGAATTGCAGCCACACCACTGAGGAATGGACTGGGCAGGAAGTAGAACCCATGCAAGCCAGCCTGGAGGGCTGCGCAAGCACCCGTGTGTGCATGCGGCATGGCTGCCAGTGTTCTTAGTTGAGCTTCCTTTGGAAAATCTCATTCACAGAGGGCAGTGTAGCTTCCTTTTTAAAAGGTGAATCAGTACCAGAGCCCCATTTACCACTCCCTTACCTCCTAAGGCAAAGATAATTCTTCATTTCTTTTCAGATCTGTGTGTCTGTAGGAAAATGAACCAGTTCAGCCTGAGCTACCTTTGGTTTTTAATGCTTGTCTGTGTGTATGCAGTGCCTGGTATCTAGTATGTACCTGTGATGGGCTGAATTGTGTCACCCCAAAATTCATATGCTGAGATCCTTAACCTCCAGGACCTCAGAATGTGACTGTATGAGGAGATAGGGTCTTTAAAGAGGTAAGTAAGTTAAAATGAGGCCACTAGAGTGGGCCTTA